GGAGATGGAACCAACTTCCAAGTCTCTATGACCTACAGAAAAAAAGTTATTGAAGAATATCTTGATCTCCAATGGGTATTCATTCCTAACCCTAACCCTAATAGCAACCCTAACCCTAATCACAACCAAAAAATCGAGAGAAAAAGTTCACAACCCTAAATACAACCCTAACCGTAATTTCAACCCTAACCCATGTTCACCATAGGGTGAATAACTCTAACCCAACAACTGTTATGTCACTTATCTTCAATAATATGCACCCTGTTTAGATCAGTCAGTAAAGCTTTGGTCTTTCAATTTTTAATTCTCAATAAAAGCTGCCTTAATTGCAATCCTAGTTCTGACCCAACCCTAATAACAACCTCTAACCCTCATGATGTTATGTACATTTTCTCTTTTTTTTCCGATGTTTCGATGTTAAAATAAAACCCCCTAAAAAAATTTTGATCATTATTATTGATCAAGGACACAAACTGTTAAGAATAATGGCAGAATAAATGGTACTTACAGTGTTACAGAGAAATGAGCCTGATCGACAAATGTGGGATTTGTTACATAACCACTGTATATATAACTGTAAAGGAAAAGACAACAAATCATTTCCACCATGTCCACAAGCATCACATCTAAGTGAACATGGAGAGCTTTTAGCAGCTCCTCACAGATGGGCCGGTAAATACGGAGTGAATGAAATGGAAATGAGGTGAAGAAATGTAAAGAGCGACACAAACCATTATCCTTTCAATACATCAGCGCCCGGTGACAACTAGGTTTGCAGTCGACAAAACCCAAATCCACTAAGTATAATCAGTCCGTCATTTGTACACCTCAGGGTGACGTAAAGTGCTTCATCGCGTTTCAGCAGATTTTCCAAGAGTTTTTCCATTACGAGAAAAGAGGCTCAGCGGTGGCAGATGAAGAAAGAAATGATGGAACGACAGGAGAAATATTTCATTTTTTTCGTTTCATTTTTCACATTTCTGTCAAAGTGACTCTCCCGCAGCCTTGACACGAACAGACGAGAGGCCTGCTGTTATTTAGTGACTCCATGCACCAAAACAACCATCCCCTGTGTGAATGACTTAAAACTTAATAATGTATTTATGGCTCTTTCACTGTTCAACAAGCAAATCAATATTTTTTTAAGATATCACCTCTGCTGATTTTACTTTTCTAATCTCAGACTTTTTACGAAAACCACCACAATTTACTTTTAGGGGTAACCCTTTCTTAATAGACTCTTCTCCCAAAAGATTATATTTTCTACAACATCTGTGCAAGGTCTCTGAAAAGTATGTGTAATGTTTTATAATTTTGTTTTTAGTTTTCTCAACACTGTGAAGTGGCCTAGTTTCCTATTCTTATTTTTATCCTCCTCAAACATTTGCTCCGTCCGTCAAGTCGCTGGGAGACTTCCCCTTCTGTTGGCAGCTTTTAGCCAGGAGGCAACACATGGGGCCTCTATTGGGATCAAAACATTTTTGAAAAATGTAATTGGTAAACGTACACATAAAGATTGAATGCTCATATTTCTTGGTTTCATTGTTTAGGTGTTACCTCTTGCAAAACGAAGGTTTATTGTCTCAGTCTGTAAACGTTTGCTCTTTTAAACATCAAGGAACCTGTTGTGAGTTTGCAGTGAAGTGGATAAAACCATAATTACTGTAACACCGGGACCTCAGCAGTTTTCAGTGAACTGATGGAGGAATGTGAGTATAGAATATAGTTTATTATTTTATTTTTTGCAAAGGTTTCAAAGGATCAGATTCCCCTTTTTTAAATGTTGTTTTTTCAGGGATTTGTTCTCCACTCAGACTGTGTGTCTGAAACTCTCTCTGTTTAAAGTTGTTATGATCTCAGGGAGTCCACAGTGACATGATTGCCTGGATCACCACTGACCGTGAGGAAAATTGCAGCTCTGTTTTGTGTGTTGTATTTTGTCATAGAGTCGTCTGTCGTCTCTGAGGCTTAACAAGACATTGTTTTTTTAATTGTGGGAGCAACCTCACAGATTCTTCTGTTAGATTCTAGATAGTTGGTTTCCGGTCAACAGAACAGGAATATTGAATATTGTTATATCCAATATTCCTGCTTAAGATGCAATGAACACAACTAATTTGATTAATTTAAAGGAAA